CCCCCTCCCCCTTTTCTGATGAAGGGTCTAGGCCCGAAACGTCAGCCTCTCTGCTCCTATGATGCTGCTTGGCCTGCTGTGTTCATCCAGCCCTGCACCTTGTTGTCACAGAATCCATTTTGTCAGTTTGGGAGATGGATATTTTTCTGATTTTAAAATGTTCACCAGTCTTTGCTGAATAGCTTGTCTCGTTAAATGCTCTCTGATGACTTTCATCAGTGTTTTATTCCAGGTGTAATTTTAGTCTCCATTTCTGATACCACTGATTCTGACAGCAGTGGCAGCGCAGTTGCTGTTGCGTAGTGTTACACGGTGTTAGCAAGCTATCCGAAAGGTACAAATATAGTTTTAAGTTTCTGGCTGCAGACTTTTCCCAATGCTACAAGAAAATCCTTAATGGTTAGTAATGCAAAAGCTGCTTCACTGACAATGATAGCCAATGTCATGAACCCAACAATTTGCAAGGGTCATCTGAGAGCTCTGCCCTACCTTTAACTAGAACAAAAATGTAAAGTGCCACATTTGTCTCCACTTTTATTTTGGCCCTACTGGTGCTGCAGAAATAAGTCCTTTCTTCCAGCTTGCACTGAGCTTTGCTGGAGCACTGCAGCAGGCCTGACACAGAAATGTTGACCAGGGAACATAATGGTGTGTTCAAGTGGCAGGCAAGTGAAAGTTTGGAGTCATTTTTGTGAATACAACATAGGTGTTCTGCAGTGCAATCAGCCAGTCTGCATTTTGTCCCCACACAGTGGAGGAGACCACATTGAGAAAAGCAAAAATGCTATATAGCTTCCAGTTCTGAAACTTTAACTCTGCTTTCTTTCCATAGATGCTGCCAGAGCTTCTGACTTTCTCCAGCAATTACTGATTTTGTTTAAGATTTCCAGCATCCGCAGTTTTTTCTTTTATTTCAGAATGCAAGAAGGCAGCTCACCACCACCTTCTCAAGGGCAACAAGGGATGGGCAAGAAATGCTGGCCAACTAGCGATGCCCACATCCCACAAAGGAATAGACAGCAAAAAAAAAGGCTATTTTGGATTGGGATGAGAAATTTCTTCATTTAGAGCGCGGTAAATCTGTGGCATTCTCCACCACAGAGGCTGTGGAGGCCAGTCACTGAATACATTTAAGAAATATTTTAAAATGTCAAAAGGTATGTGTGGAGAACAGGAGTATGGCATTGAAATAGCAGATCAGCCTTGTTCATGTAGAATGGCTGAGTGGGTTCATTGGGTCAAATTGTCTGCTCCTGCTCCTATTTTCTGTGTTTTTCTGTGTTTTCCCTTACATACTCCAAATTCTACAGCAGTTCCTTCCACCACCAATGCAACCTTACCCAAGTTCCGGAAAACTAGATGTTTAATGCCAAGCGTGGGATTATGTCTTGAAATGCCCATGTTATGTTGCTTGGGTTCATGGCTATGGGAGCAGGGATAAGAATGCTGTTTGGTTATGAGTCACAACAGTCAGGGTCCTGAGCATGTGCAAACTACAAATATAAGGAATATTTATCCTGACATACCCTTCGTGTTTTGGAGACCAACTGCCCAACCCTAAAACCTGAATACAGGCAGATGGTGGTGTAGTGGTAATGTCACTGGACAAGGAGTCCAGAGCATCAAGTTAATGTCCTGGACGTGTGTTCAAATCCCATCACACCAGCAGGTGAAATTTAGTTTTGATTAATAAATCTGGTCTGTTTCTGGTTTTGTTTCAGATTTCCAGCCCACAGTATTTAGCTTTCAAATAATCTAGTCACCAGTAATAATGACTGTGCAACTATTATCAATTGTCATAGTAAGTCACAGGTTCACTAATGTCCTTAAAGGAATGAAATCTGCCATTCTTACCTGGCCTGGCCCACCAGTGACTTCGGATTCACACTGTGATTGACTCTAAAGTAGCTTGGCAAACTGCTGGATGTGCAACAATGCTGTCCACATCCCCTGAAAGAATTTTTTTTTTAAAAAACTGGATGTTCCTACGCAATCCAGGAAGGCTAGAAAACCTAGCAGTATTACATATTCTTTTGATATCCCCATTCCCTTTGTCAAAATCCATGCAACACCCCATTATTTCAGGAGAGTTGCTAGAGACTCCATTTTAATATGTAGATACGCCATGTCTATTCAAAAGAATAATGCAGCGATATCAGGCCAAATTATTCACAGTGTACTACAAAATATGCCATTCAAATTTTAAGATGCATACAGAATTTTACCCTTGTGTTCACAGAAATGTTGGCTAGATTTATGAAGAAGAGACTGATGTTTGCAGCAGTTACATGAGCAACATCAACTTATATAGCACATTTAACGCAGTAAAACATCCAAAGACACATCATAGGAGTGATTATAAGACAAAATTTGACACCAAGCTGCATTAAGATATTTTGGGAGCTAATTAAAAGCTTGATTAAAAGAAGCATCTTAAAGGGGGTAAAAGAGGTGGTACGTAAAAGAGGTCCAGAGCTTTAGGGTCTTAGAAACTGACAATGAGCAATTAAAATGTTGTGTAAGAGATCAGAAATGATGAATGCAAGCATTGTGGAAACTTGAAGGGGGTAAGTTACAGTGCTAGACTGATTTGACTATTGAAGGATTTCAAAATATTAATGAGAGCTTTAAAAGCAAGACACCATTCAACTGTGTCATCCTGTCAGATGTGATGCTGCCTAGGCATGAGTGGAGGCCATTTTGTACCCCAGCCTGTTGCCTTATTCAGTAGGATTTGATGATCTGTGACACAATTCCATATACCTGCCTCTAAACTGTGTGTCTTTGTTAATACCCTTAGCAAGTGTAAGTGGTGCCCATATTCTGATCAGGATTGCAAACCCCATTTCTGACCCTGATCAGACAAAAATAGTATAACGTTGCCTTTGGATGAATTCTCCATGTAGAGTTTGGAGCCAAGAGACTTCCAAACTGAAAAGCTGGAGTTTAGGGTGGAAATTCATGCATCCAACAGCAGAATGGCTTGGTGTTGAAGCCACATCCTATTTTTCAGCATCAGCTGCTGTATTCCAAGATTTCAAAGGTCCTCAAGAATGTGTTGGGTAAGTGAGAACCCTCCAAGGTCTCCAACTCTGACTTAAATTTAAGGTTTTTTTTTCAGTGGATTCCAGATACTGGCTTTAACTTCCTAGGCAATTACTGTGTAGTTTGCACCAGGACTTCCGCATGGTCATGGCATGCATTTTCCAGGCTATGTTAGATCTTCAACTGTCTAGAAACTGGATGATCTGGGCCAATACCTTCAAGACAAACAAGGAAAGAGAGTGAATTGAGAATTTTCTACTTCTAATTGGTGGATTGGCTTTATTATGATTATTAGTTTTATTGAAAAGAATTTCAACTCCCAATGAGTAATAAGTGTTAAATAGGAGGCACCAGGTCAGGTAAAAGAAAAGGCTGGTCCAATGAGGATGATAAATTCTTGCTCCATACCAATATAGAGTAAGGAGCAATGTTGTTTTCCAGTAAAATATGGCCTGAAATAATAAATCCCACAGCTGAGAGCTATGATATTTGTGAATAACCTGTGTTGCTTACTGTTTACTGATAGTTTACTGCAGATGTTCTGATGGAGCAGCTTTGTGTTTGTTTCTCCTCAGGTAAATCGCACTTAGCAATAGTGCAGAGAGTCAACAATGAGGGAGAAGGTGATCCTTTCTATGAAGTGATGGGTATCGTCACATTGGAAGATATAATTGAAGAAATTATTAAATCAGAGATCTTGGATGAAACAGACATTTACAGTATGTATTGCTTCCTGCAGTATCTCCTGGAGAGCTGTAAGCAGCTCAATCTGTTAGTAGAAGTAATTAATTCATTAATTAGATCACAGCATTTTCCTGTAGTGGCATTTCCAGAGTGCAGTTTTCTTTACAACTGTTCTTTTTGAATGAACCATTTCAGCTCTAGGCATAGTACACATAGTAGATGCCAACCAGAACTTTCTTATGTTATATTCACTCAATGAGGCATCTCTCAATCTCAGAAGAGGAATCTTGCCAGAACTATACTAACATGACCTCCTGCACTTTCTGCTCCATATCTATATTAAATTGTATGTGACTGTGGACCTATATACTTAAGGAGCTAAATTGATGTTGTCTAGATTTGCACTCTATTGATAAGGGATCAGATTATTCCTGCATTTTCATGGTATGCTTCTCTTTTCTAAATATGAATCTCCAAGGGGCTTACAGGAATTGAAAATCTGTGAAGAATGCACTATTGTTGATCCTTTGTGTGTGTTTGAAAATACAAAAATAATTTGGATAGGATGATTTTGTTATATTTGGCCAGGTGTGGAATCTGTGTACAGTTGTTCTGGCAGTTCAAACATATGTTAATTAGGATTGTAACCAGTCATGTTTCTTGACCTTGTGCTTTTCTGTAGTTTTATGAACACTTGGTGTTTGCGTGGAAAATAATATTGAACTAGTGTTAATTATATTCAGATGGTGGGCATTAATTAGAGGCACATACTTAATTGGAACAGGTTGAAAGAGGTTTTTTTTTGTTGCAGTGCTTAGTGTGCTCTGTGTTTCTTTGTACATAAATTCTTGGAAGTGAAAAAAGACCAGGCAAAACTATTTAAACCTTCATCACCCGGCTATCCGAGCATTGATGGTGTACTAATTATCACCACATTTTAAAGCTCTTTTCATTTGATAATCTTCAGAGGCGGGGAAAGCAAAGGAACAGGTTGAAGCATGGTCATAAATATTTTAAAAAAGCAAATTAATTTTAGAAAAATGTATAAGTTGTATAACTTATATATTTATAAGTTGAAAAATGTATGATAATGTATTTGTTTAGATTTCCAATGCATATTTTTAATTTACCCTGCTGGCTAACATTTCTCAACATTTTGCATTACTCCTCAGCCCTAAAGGTGCTGTTGGAATTCAGATTTTGCATTGTTTCTTGGCTGAATTTGAAGACTTCCTGTTGCATAGCAGAACAAAAGCCCAGATAGTTCTGGAGCAGCAACCAGAAATGCTTCAAATTGTGCAGAGATTTCTCAAGCATGCTAAAAAAAACAATGTAGGTTGAAGGCCCTATACGACAACAGTCAGTCTAATGAGTATAATTACCCAGTTTTTGCTTAATTGATCCATCTTTGAATGGCTGCAAAAAACCGCTTCCTCCATATATTTGTTCTGAATTTGCAAATGACTGTGGATATCTTTTGTCGGGATTCAAGGAACGTTTGGCCCTCCATCTGCTTTTCTTCCCTGCTGCTGCTTGTATGCAGACCCTGCTTGGACGTAATGCTGAACACATGATCCTTCTCTAATGGATGTATCGGAATATATTGAATCAGAATCAAAGGGACTATCCTAATCTTCGTCATCATCTTCCAAATCCATATTTTCTTCAGGTTCCACTCTTACGTTGTGGTCCAGCTCATCCTCTTCAGAGCTACTTAAAATCAAGGCTGCTATCTGTGGATGAAAAGGATTTGGAGGAGACATTGTCTTTTTTCACACTGGAGGTATGTGGACCTATATAGAAGCTATTGAATTCTTGTGTAGATCCCAGCACACCTGGAAGAAGCAGCCAATTACTATTTGCAATGTTGCCAGGAAATACTACAATTCCTTAAAGTGACTCATGGCCAATTATGACTATGGATTATAGTATAGCTCACATGGACAACTATTTCTTTGAGCATAATTTAACAATCATGTTATATTTTGAATAGTGCTTTTGGCTTTCTTGCATTTCGCCAGACTTGTTTAAAGTACCTAATGAAACATTGATCAGTTCACCTTGTACGGTGTTTCATTATTTGGATAGGCTGCATAAAATGTTGAGTTATTGATGATGGAAAGTGCAGCTAAATTTACAGGTCTGCATCTACAATGTTAGCCATGACTCAATTATATTTCTGAATTAGAAGATTGTTAAGTTTTTAAGTGCCACATGAAGACATGAGTACAAAAATCACGGCTGGTGCAAAGTGAAGTGCTGAGGGAATGCTACAGTGTTGACAATGCTGTCTTTTGGATGAAATGTTAAACTGAGACCATGTTTGTGTAAGACACCCAGAGGCACTATTCCGAAGAAGAGTGGGTAAGTTATTCCTGGTCACAAAATTTGCTGTATCATTCCAGGTTTTTCTCTCCTTTCTTTTTATCATTTGCACTTCAGTGTGACAATAAAATTTGTAGTGGAATAATCAAGACAATTTTAATACACTAAATTGATTGGGTGCAGAAGAATTAAATAGGACAGAAACATTTAGTTTATTACTAAAGTTTATCAAAGTGCAGAATTTTTCATGAAGGAAGTGAACTTCCTGGCTGCCAGAATCCTATGAGACCTTTGAAACTATGTCCTTAAAACCAAACTTTCTCCTTCAAGATATGTCAAGGGAACAATTGGGCACCAGTTTTCTTTACCATCATCTGGTTATCTTAATATAATTGAACTTCCTCCTGTGACCTTGACTAGCACTTGAAGCACAGCATCCATATACTCTGCCTGCATTATTCAACTTGTTTAAAGACAGAGCTTGGCATCTTGATTTCTTGACTTCTTTCCACTTTTCGTGTGCCATTTAAACTTGAGCCTTTTGTTTGGAAATGTTGCGCTGTTTCATGACCTCTGCTACCAGATAATACCTGCTTGTCTCTCGTTCCTTAACTTGACAATTTCTTTTCTCTACATGCTCAGTATTGAACACTTACAGTGTGCTATTTCACTAATTTGCAACCTTTATGAAGATTTGAATCACTTTCTGACTATGCAAAACTTCCCGATATCTGTTGATGCATAAACGTGCTAATGTTTCATGGAAAGCTCACTTCAGACTTGTCAGTAGATTCAGTTTTGCACCACTAAGACACAGTATTAAAACCTCAGTTATGTATTAATGACTGTTATTAGTGACTGTACTACTGTTTTTTTTAAATTCATTTGTGGGATGTAGACGTTGCTGGCTGGCCAGCATTTGTTGGACATCCCTAGTTGCCCTTGAGAAGGTGGTGGTGAGCTGCCTTTTGCTCATGGCTGTTTGGTGAAGAGATTGAATCATAACCTTGTAATCTCTGTATTGATGGGGGAAGTGTGCCATTTATTGTACTATATAAAGTAGTGCCTGGCAGTTCGATCTTATCCTCAAGAAGAGGCAGTTTTTCTCCAAACAGCAACAATATTTTGTGTTTATGTGGCCTCTTCAATGTAGTAACGTGCAATAGAAGGTACTTCAGAATAGGCTTGTCAAGTAAATTTTGGCAGTTTGTCACATAAGCAGATACCAGTTAATGACTAGATACTAAGTAGATGACAAAAAGCTTGGTCAAAGAATTCTGTTTTGTATGAAGTCTGAAATGAAAGTGATAGAGAAGGAAGGGAATTCCAGAGTACTGGAGTATTCAGGGTTGAAGGTGTGACTGTCAATCGTGGAACACTTAAAATCAGGGATGTTCAAGAAGCCAGATTTGGGAAGTTGCAGACATCTGTGAGGATTGTGGGTCTTAAGGAAATTACAGATATAGGAAGAGAGAGAGTTGAGAGGATTTAAAAATGTGGATAGGATTCTTAAACTGGAGTTGTTGCTTAGCTGGGAGCAATATAGTTTAACAAGCTCAGGAGTGATGGGTGAATAGGACATGGTGTGAGTTAGAGCATGGACAGCAGAGTTTTGCATGAACTTAAATTTTTGCAGGGTGGAAGGTGTGAAATTACCAGGATCACATTGGAGTAGTTGGTATAGAGTTAACAAGTTGGATGGGTGTTGTAGCAGCAGATCAGCTGAGGCAGTGGTGCGGTCAAGTGGTGTTACAGCAATGAAAAGAGATGATCATAGTAATGGTGCAGATAATGTGCGTAGAAGCTCATCTCAAGTCAAATATGACACTAAGGTCTAATTCAGGAAGAGGGATGATGTCAGTGTCTCGAGAACCAAGTTAGTAATGGGGGCAAAGACAATATTTAGATGTTGAAAATATTGGTCCAAGTAGCATCAGTAATGCATCCAGTTAATTGTGGAATCATGGTACAAGGTCTCTGTAATTTCAAAATGGGTAGGAGAAGTCAGAGGTTATGTTTGACATCACTGAAATTCCCTTTGTATGCCAATGAAAATTCTTCATTCTGCAATTGCAGCTGACAATCGATCGAAGAAAATAGCTCACAGGGAACGAAAGCGGCAAGATTTCTCACTGTTCAAAAACACAGAAACTGATTTAAGAATCAAAGTTTCACCTCAGCTTCTACTAGCAACTCACCGGTTTTTAGCAACAGGTAATTTAGAGTAATGTAGAATTGTTTTCTGCTTCTATAAATGCTATGTATACAATTAGGGGTTTTTTGTCTTCTGTTCCTTGTTCAGTCCTGCAGTGATTAGATAGGTCTACATGTCCGAAGTTAATTTGCAGCTAAATTGTACATGCATGTATCATGCCTGGACCAGTAAAAGTAAGCCTACAGCAAAACAAATTTTGATCCCCTAAAGTATATTATGGAAATAAGCAAGACTCTAACTTATATTTTTTTTAAAAAAGGCAAATGTAAGGCGCTGTGTTCCAGAAGTGATTCAATTGGTCCACCAAAAAGCTTTAATCAAAACACACTTTATTCTTATAACATAGTTGATATACAACAAAAAGAAGAATGGGCATAACTTTACTGTATCGAAATACTTACCAAGTTAATGTATTGTTTAACAACTAATCAACAACTTTCCAATATAGGCAGCATCCCATAAACACAACCTTGACAAAGGCAATTCAGCAACACAGTTATTGTTCTCACGTGCTGTTTCTCTCCAATCCTGTAGAAGTAGCTGGGTCGGGGTAGGATGATCTTTGGAACGTCAGTGCAGATTTGATGGGCTAAATAGCCTCTTTTCACACTGTAGGGATTCTACAATTCTATTATTCTAAGTGCTCAAGACAGACACGGTCCTGAGAAAGCTGTCCCACCCCAATGGAAGGTTGTCCAGAAGAGGACTAAGAAAACTTAGGGATGAGTTTCCTAACACTTTAGATACAGGATGCTGCCTTCACAAGAAGATTGACACTGTCCGTGTCAACACCTTGATTGCCCTCTGATATCTGTGAACCAAGCCCAATCATCGTGATTGTAACTTCTCTTTATCTAATTCACTAATGCGTATCTAGACTGCTGCATCTTAGCAAACTCCAACAAACAACCAGAAAATTACTACAAATTGTTGACTGCCAATATTAGACAACTGTAATCACAAATACCACCCCATCACCAAAATCAACACCTCCCTACTTTTATACTTTATTTCCCTCAAAATAAAGACCGACAGTCCATTTGCTTTTCCTATTACCTGCTGAACTCAATTTTTTGTGATTTATGCATGAGGACTCCTTAATCCCTCTGAGCTGCAGATTTCTGCAGATTTTTTTCAAATTTACCAGCTTTGCTGGATGGGCCAGTATTTATTGCCTGTTTCTAGTTGTCCTTGAGGTGATGGTGGTGAGCTGCCTTCTTGAAATACTGCAGTCCATGTGCTCTAGACCTACAATGCCTTTAGGCAGAGAATTCAGGATTTTGACCCAGCAGCACTGGGAATGACAATATATTTCCAAGTCAGATGGTGAGTGGCTTGGAGGGGATCTTGCAGTTGGTGGTAGTCCCATGTATCTGCTGCCGTTGTCCTTCTCGATAAAAGTGGTTGGGGATTTGGAAAGTGCTGTCTAAGAATCTTTGGTGTATTTCTCCAGTGCACGTTGTAGATGGCACATGCTGCTGCTACTGAGCATTGGTGGTGGAGGGAGTGGATACTTGTGCATGTGGTGCCAGTCAGATGGGCTAATTTGTCCTGGATGGTGTCAAGCTTTTTGGGTGTTGTTGGAGCTGCACTCATCCAGGCAAGTGGAAAGTATTCTATCACATTCCTGACTTGTGCCTTGTAGACGGTGAACAGGCTTTGGAGAGTCAGGAGGTGGATGTGGCTGGACTGAGAAGCTTAGATCTGATTCGTTAGTTGTGGGATTGCTTCGCTGTAACTATCACTTGCTCCTTATGCTATTTGGTATGCTTCACCAGGTTGACACTTCACTTTTAGGTATGCTTGGTGCTGCTCCTGTTGTGCCCTCCTGCACACTCCATTGAACCAGGTTGATCCCCTGGCTTGATGGTAATTATTGATGGAGGATATACTGGGCCATTTAAATAAATATTTAGCTTTTCTATTTTTCCTGCCAAAATACATAACCATATATTTTCTCACATAATACTCATGTGCCAAGTTTTTGCCCACTCGCTTAACCCGTCTATATCTCTCTGTAGTCTCTTTGTGTCATCCTCAGTAGATGTCTTCCCACCTACTTTCCTGTCACTGGCAAACTTCCAGCATCCAAGTTATTAAAATAGAATGTAAATAACTGCGATATCAACATTGATCTCTGTGGCATGCCATCCTGAAAATTCCCCCTTTTTTTTCCAACTCTATATTTAATTAGTAACCAATCCTGTATCAATGCTTATATTCTACCTCCAAACCACGGGCTCATATGTTATTAAGCGGTCTTATGTGCGGTACATTATTGAATGTCCTTTGGAAATCATACCTCAATGACTTTTAATAACCTTGTGAGACATACCTTTCCCTTCTTGAAGCAATGCTGATTCTATTTGATTACATAATGCACTTCTAAATGCTATGCTATCACATCCTTTATAATGGATGCTAATATTTTCCCAATGACAAATATTAAAGCTAACTGGCCTGTAGTTACATGAATTTCATCTCCCTCCCTTTGTAAGTTAGGGTGTTACGTTTGCAGTTTTCCAATCTTCTGCGACTTTTTCCAGATTCTAAGGATTCTTGGAAGATTATCATCAGTGCATCCATTATCTCTGTAACTACTCACTTTAAAATCCTAGGATGCAACCCATGAGATCCATGGGACCCATCTATCTTCAGCCCCATTAATTTCTGTAATACTTTTTCATTAGAGATTACTATAGTTTTTATTTTCTCCTCTGTTATTAGTCTTTTGATTAATAAATATTTTTGGAATGCTAGTAGTGTCTGCTATCATGAAATCTGATGCAACTTATTTATTCAACTTGAATAAATGGGAAGAATGTTGGTTGCTGAACCCATCAAGGATGCCAACACTTCCTTGGTCCAACAAATTGTTCAATAATCCTACTTCACGTGGTAATGATTTACTGTTGAGATGATACTGCGCCTTGAAGAGATGTGTTCTGTCCTGTTTCTCTTGCAGAGGGGTGTTGTCACAGTCGTGCCGAAATGACTCCTTCAGACAGGTAGTTTGTAAACGGCTTTTGAGTTGTCCCTGGGTTTTTTTTCAAAAAAAGTACAAAAGAATCATGAGTGGGCAGGGTCAGGTTCATACAGACCCAGAAGACTTTAGTTTTGCTTTCAGTCAGTTGAGTAAGGTTTTGCTCGCTGCTGGAGCTAAAAGTATGACTTCTCTGCTACTAGAGTGAAGTCTTAGACAGAGAGGCTTCCTGTAATATCACTATACATCTCAGTATTCTGTAGTCTCTCACCACATAAGTAATAGGTCGCTTTTATAATCTTCCTGCTAAATTGGACAACTTCACATTGTACTCCCATCTGCCAAACGTTTTGTCACTGACTTAATTTCATTTTTGCAGACACCTGTGTCATCTTGACAACATGCTTTCCTTCCTATTTTTGTACTGTTGGCAAGTCTGGCTACAATACAGTTGGTTCTTCACCCTAGTCTTCAATATCGATTATAAATAATTGAGACTCTAGCACTGACTGTTGTTGCAATCCAAAATTACAGCTTGCCAAGTTGAAAATAGCCCATTCATCCTGACATTCTCTTTCCAGTTATTTAGTCAATCCCCTATCCATACCAATATATCACCCTTAACACCATGAGCTCTTATTTTGTGTAGTGAAGTGTTAAATGGCATCTTCTAACATGTTTCAAAGAGATCTAAAAACATACAAAATTAGGAGGTATCATTGATACCAAGGAAAGTAATCAAAAATTACAGATGAATCTTGATCAGCTGGGGAGTTGGGCTGAGGATTGGCAAATGCAATTCAATACAGATAATTGTGAGGTGTTGCACTTTGAAAAGTCAAACCAAGGTAGGACTTGTACAGTAAATGGTAAAGTCCTGAGGAATGTTGTAGAACAGAGGGACCTATGAGTACAAGTACATAGTTTGTTGAAAGCAGCGTCACAGGTAGACAGGGTGGTGAAGAAGGCATTTAACCTGCTGGCTTTCATCGGTTGAGGCATTGAGTATAGGAGTTGGGATGTTATGTTACAGTTGTATAAGTCATTTGTGAGGTTGCACATGGAGTATTGTGTACAGTTTTGGTCACCTTATTATAGGAAAGACATAGTTAAACTGGAAAGTATGCAAAGAAGATTTACAAGGACATTGTCAGGACTAGTAGGCGTGAGTTATAGGGAACGGCTGGCTAGGATAGGACTTTATTCCTTGGAACATAGGAGAATGAAGGGTGACCTTACTGAGGTAAATAAAATCATGAGGGGCAGAGATAGGACAAATGCATGTAGCCTTTTTACCAGGACTGGGGAATTAAAAACTAGATGGCATACGTTTAAGGTGAGAGGGGAAAGTTTTAAGAAGGACCTGAGGGGCAACTTCTTCATGCAGAGAGCATATATGGAATAGGTTGCCAGAGAAAGTGGTTGAGGTAGGTGCAATAGAACATTTAAAAAACATTTGGATAGGTACATGGATGGGAAGGGTTTAGAGGGATGTGGACCAAATGTGGGCAATTGGAACTAGGTGAGTGGGCAGCATGGACCAGTTTGGGCTAAAGGGCTTGTTTCCATGCTGTATTACTGTACGACTCTGTGCATCTACTGTTTCCCTTTTAATCTAACCTCCTTGCTGAATCTTCATATAGTCTAATAATTTCATCAAATCATTTTCCCTTTAAAGACAAGTGCAATGATCTTGGTGAAGTTGATCTTCCACATTCAATTTTTAAAATTCACTTTACTTGAAGCTTCTTAAGAATTTATTTAAAAACACATTAAGATGGTGTGTAAATCCAAGTCTGTATCACTTAATCTAATTGTGTATTGTCTTTGTTCTTCTTTCCTTCTGCATTTGGTAACCCATCAAATTAGAAAATAATTTTTACAAATTACAAAGGTGTGCTGGTGTTGTGAAGTTTTCAACTTGCTTTCATGGAAGAAACGGTAGTCCATTGATAAATAAAATGACACAGGATGTCAAGACTGCTGATCGTTTGAATTAAATGAATTCAAGGCTGGAGTAGACCGCATGCTAAAGATGAAACATTATGAAACTGGGGTAGTTTATGTTAAAATTGACACTTTTTTCTTGGAATGTAAAGGCAAAGTGATATCACTATCAAATAAATTTCAAGATCACATTATCAAACCCAACTAATTATGTTTTTTCCTCAATTGAATAGAGGTGGAACCTTTTAAAAGCACATATATATCAGACAAAATTCTGCTAAGGCTTCTCAAACATCCTAAAGTCATCTGGGAGTTAAAGTATGATTGGCAAAACAGAGTTTCCCCTGATCAGTATCTTTACCAACGGAATAAACCTGTGGACTACTTTGTACTTATTCTACAGGTATGTCTCTATCTAACTGCCTTACTGTTAAATGACTGAGATTATGGAGTACTCATGTCCTTTACTGTTTTGAGGGACAAGGTTGTGTAGTTATAATGTTGACTGGGCTTGTAATCCAGAGGCCTAGGCTAATGAAGATGTGCATTCAAATCTCACCAAGTATCATCAATTGTTGTAAAGACCCATCTGGTGCAACAGTGTTGACCTTTGGGAAGGAAATCCGCTATCTTCATTTGGTCTGGCTTACATGTGGTTGATTCTTAACTGTCCTCTGAATTGACCTGGCAAACTAGTTCAATTGGAGATGGGCAATAAATGCTGGCCATACCAGTAATACCCACATCCTATGAAAGAATAAAGAAAAGCAAAACTGTGTGTTTCATATATTTTAAAGCATCCTATTTGATCTACTGAGCCTGTTTAGTCAGTCAGTTGTAAACTCTCAGGGACTCTCACGTTAACTTAATGTATTTGATTTCCTCCATTACAGCCAATTGAGTCTGCTCTACCTTTTAATGAGATCATGGTTGATCTAATCATCCTCAACTTCACTTTCTTGCCTTTTCCCTATAGTGCATGATTCCCTTACTGATTAAAATTCTGTCTATCTCAGAAAGCTCCTCCAGAAAGTGATTATTCACAACTTTCTAAGTCTGGAAACATTCCCCTTAAAATAATATTTCTAAGATGTCAGTTGAATGTTGTGATTTGAATAGTCAACCCTAACTGTTTGCTGTGATAAATAGTGACAGTCTGATTTCCTAGTAATCAGTTGTCGTTGTAAAATATATTTTTTGCCAACAACACTGTCTGTCTTTGTTGATTAACATTTGTGGTTCATTGTGTATTGGTAGCCATTTCATGCTGCATTTATTTACCCCTGATACAAATGTGTTTAAATATGAATGGTATCACAGTCAAATTTTATTACATTCTCAATTAGCATCCATATGTTGACCTTTGCTTGGAATGGAAGTGGTATAGCGATTAGGTATAGGATGTCTGATTAATTCCATTTGCTGAGTCATGAATTCAACTGTAACAACCTTAATTTTCACTCAGCTGTGGTTAGATAGTCCATCACAGAGTTTCCCAATATGTACACCTTAGTACACCAAGCCATGCCTTTCGTCAATTAATTATTGATAAATCTCTGCAAATAATATTGTCAACAAATGGAAAACTATGTTCAGATTGTTCATTAACTGTGCATGTTATGCTCCAATGCTTATAGAATGTATTGGTATTACAGTTGTCAAAATGTCAACAAAGAAGAAAAATTATCGGAAAAGAGCAAATCTTATAAGGCCACAGTGCTAACAGTAAACCAAAAGTCAGGTGATGTGTCTGAGCGTAGTCCAGTGAAATCACTACAGATTACAATTTTCTTTGCTTCTGGTCTTTCAATGTTGCTTTCTCTGGTGCCTGGGCTAACATTTCTACTTCAAATAACATTCTGTATTGGCTGGTATTTCCTGGCTGGCTTTCAGATCAAAAAAAAACAATTTTATCAGCAATAAATCTGCAGAGCTCACTTCTCCTTGCTTATCTTAAATTCCAAATCTCCTTACTATTCATAGATGTGTCAAATCTCACAGTATCAGGAAGGCTCAGTGTATTCAGTATGTCTCACTTTCCAGCTGCTAGACTGTGAATGTGACGGATTGCTGACGAGAGATTAGCAGGCATTTTGGCAGAATGGCATTATGTGATTTGGCACCTGCAAATTATCTACTTCATGATCTACTTCATGATCGTGGGAGGACGTGAAAATTGAAAACTGAACACTTTACTAAGGAAATAGAATTGAATCTGAAGGGCAAGAAATATGTAGGAATCCAAAATTAGTGGACTTCAAAGATGTGATTGAGATTAATCAAGTAGAATTAGCCTTAATTATTCATACAATGACTGCTAATTGCAGTACTTGATAATGTGTGACTTATAAATGTGACTTCATGCAATGATTATTTCACACAGGGAAAGGTGGAAGTTGAAATAAGCAAAGAAGGCCTGAAATTTGAAAATGGAGCGTTCACTTATTATGGTGTACCTGCACTCATACCTTTGGCTTCTACAGGTAGAATTTTCTCTTTTAATAAGCATATAACATAATTTAAAATAAACGCTCTAAAAACTCTTTAGGAGTTGGTGGTAGATTCTCTAGCTACAAATGAGCTTCTACAATCATCAATAATTTTGCTTGGCTCACTTGTGCTACATTCTAAGAAAGGGCATATTTAGTACCAATATTTTGCAAAATTGAAAATGGATTTTGTCATAGTTTTACAACTTCTGAATAGTGTTTCTTATGTCTGTTAAAGAGTTTTTTTGGTGGTGGTGGCAAGAGTGACATTGGCAGTGTGACTGATGGTGACAAGATTGAATTTTCAACTGTCACTGTACTTGTCAATAATGCAAGCTGCATAATGCAAGATTGAGGCTTCCTGTAGTCTCCATCAGCAGTTTGTTTTATTAATTTTTAATAACAATGAGAAGCACAAGATACTTTTGACAGCTTCATTCAGCTGATGTGTTCAATGTGAGATCAGGCCAGCTTTTGTTATCATGTTTTTCTTCTGTTTGTACCTCTGTGGTTCGGACATCTGACTGTTTGCATTGTAAAGTGTGATCTTGATTGGTTGTAATCATAAAAATAAATTAGCTTTTAAATGTCGCTCAGTACTGAACTCGGGAAATTAGCAGCAGGATAGACATTTTTTATGCTTTACATTGGTAATTTACAATGTGATGACGGGTTATAAGGTTGTTATTTTTGAACTCTGGTTAACGGTTTTTGATTCTCTGTGAAGGTTGACCTTTTTTTTAAAGCATCAGACATAATTTATTGAACTAGGTGAAAACAGCATTTTGAAGAAATCATGTAACTTAATGAGCTAGCAGATAATTGCTGATGCATTTACTATGTTCTGCATTTATGACTTATTGAAAGAAAGGCAAGAGGCCAGAAGCCCGTTCAATTTGGAACAAAAGATCCAAACCAGCAAATATACTGATTTGCAGCCTCAAAGTAACTGAAAAATGTCCTTTTTATTTCCTTTGAGTTCAGTGTTAAAAGTCAATGAATTAGCCTCTGACTGTGTGTCTTCTGAGAGGTGGAGAGAATTGCATCTGGTAAAACAAATGACTATGGACATTGGAGATTAGAATCAAAAACCATAAATGCTGGAGAAACTCAGCAGGTCTGGCAGCGTTTGTTGAGAGAAAGTTAACATTTCAAGTCCAATGAGAGGGAGAGATGTACATTGGCTTCCTTCTGTCAACATCTTCAGTGACTGACCACCACAGTAACCAAACTGCAAAAATAAAACCTATGGTCTATCAAGCCACGCTTCACTCTTTTATCTGACTTGTCCACTATCACCATCAGCAGGAATCCTAACTACACATGTGTGATGACAAATGCTTAGCACATTTCTTAATATGGGCCTACTTTCCATGATAAGCAAAGGATGGTGTAGGTGGTGTTGACTGGCATGTATTAGATGCTCCAAATTGTTTGCACTGATTAATGTCTCTGTTAGAATAATGAAGAGGGGGATTCCATATAAAGCTGCCATGCGGTAGCTTCAGAACGGTAGTCCTCATTTGAAATTATTTAAATCCATCTTTCAATATGTTTGCTTTTAAAAGTATATGTTTTATAAGAAGGGAAACCAACAGCATCTTATTAAAAAATCAATAAACATAACAGCGGCATTTAACCCTAGATTAGTCACAACTACCACACCTTTCCCTGCAAGAATATCCCTAGTTCCCAGTGTTAGCCTGCTTTTCCAGCTTTGATTTCAGGATAACGTGGGAAATTGGAGAAAAAGGTGAGAGTGAGAAATGTTGAGACAATGATACAGAGATAAAAGAAATATATGAAGTATACATAGTCAGGTATCTCACAGGACAAGGTCTCAAAGTGAAGGAAGGAGTTGGCCCCTATTATCCTCTGGTGGAAATTGTCAACCACAGGAAAGGGTAGAAATCCAGTGCTAGCTGGTTGCATCCTAGACTTTAATCATCTACGTCCAAATGGGCTGGAATTCTTAGGGCTTGGCTCTCAATCCTGATAATATTGTGACACTTTCTCCCATATTTAAATTAAAGTTTGTGAGATACCTACTCATAACAATGTCCACTCACATAAATTTTGGTCAGGGTCACTGATTAACCCTAGAAAAACTGAGTTTTGTTTTCTCCTGGAGACTGTTCTACCTCATTGACTTCTTTGTGTGAGTATCTTTTTGGTCTTTTGTTTTTCTGTTCATGTCCTGTTTTGGCATGTTTTCTGAAAGTGACCTACTCTGTTAGACTAAAATAATTTGATTTTAATAGATGGGCACTATTCATATCTTTGCTTTATCGTATTGACAAGGACTTATTGTGTCTGTCCTGCCCATTGCATTGACTTATCATGTGTCTCTTGTGGTTATATACCTTAAGAAGTGAATGGAGTCTGAAGATCTCCTTTGCCAAGTTTTTTTTTCCTGTTGGAACTGATATAATGTGTTGCTTTCAGACATTTGCTTTACTTACCATCTGGATGGACTGCTCTAGAGTTAGGTCTTACAAAGACTCAATGGAATCCCTACAACAGTTTGGTCTCTTATGATTCCTGACTTTAAGTCACCGTAGCTACATCTCTCTATTAATCTGTGCAGATCATTAATCGGGTTATACATGGATTCCCCTAGATGCTGTATTCTTCTCTTAAGGCATGATCTTCCAAGAATTTCATTAGCTCTGAACTTGAGATTATTGTCAAAATCTTTCAGAACCTCTTTTGAGGTTGGTTGGCTCGCCGAGCTGGTTTGTTGTTCTGCAGATGTTTCGTTACCATGCTTGGTAACATCCTCAGTGCAGCCTCTGATGAAGCGTCGGTGTGTTTTCCCGCCTGGTTTTTAAATTCTGGGGTCCATTGCGATGGATTGCCTCATTTCCGGGTTTCCTCCGTAGTGGAATGTATATGGGGTGGAGTTGAATGTGTTTATTAATAGCATGCTTCGTGGAGTGCCATGCTTCCAGGAATTCTCGTGCTTGTCTCTGCTTAGCCTGTCCCAGGATCTTGGTGTTGTCCCAGTCGAAGTCGCGGCTCTCCTTGTCCATGTGGTTTGAGATGAGTGAGTATTGAGTGTCTTTTTGTAGCCAGTTGGTGTTCATGTGCTCTTGTTGTTAGTTTCCTTCCTGTTTGTCCGATGTAGTGTTTCTCACAGTCTCTGCAGGGGATCTTGTAGATGACATTGGTCCTGTCCATGGCGGGGAGTGGGTCTTTAGTTCGGGTGAGCACTTGTCATAGGGTTGATGTGGGCGTGTGTGCCACTCTGATGTCCAGCGGTCGTAGAAGTCTTGTGGTGAGTTCTGACATGTTCCTGATGTAGGGTAGTGTGATGAGTGTGTTGGGGCGTGTAGAATCTTTCTGATGCTGTTCCCGTAGGCATCTCCTGACCCAGTTCGTTGGATATCCGTTATCCTTGAACACTTGGAAGAGGTATTCCTCCTCCTCTTGACGTAGTTCCGTGTTGTTGCCCTTTTAAATAGTGTTCGCACGCAGCTTCGTTTGTGTGTGTTGGGATGGTTACTATTGAAGTTCAATACCTGGTCTGTGTGTGTGGCTTTTCGGTGTACTTTCGTTTGCAGTTCCCCATTTGTCTTGTGCTCTACCATGATGTCCAGGAATGGGAGTTGTTTGTTCTTCTCCTCCTCTCTGGTGAATTTTATTCTGGTGAGGGTGTCCTTGGAGATGGTTTCACTGGGGTCGTGTTCTTGTTCAAGTAGCGTTGTCATTGTTTCCCTTGCTAGTGGTATGTCCATTGATGTGAATAGGGCGGTGACATCAAACGATATCATGGTCTCTTCGTCCTCTATCTTTATGCCTTTGATGGAGTTGAGGAATTCTTGGGCTGAGTGGATGGAGTGGGGTGATTTGTTGACTAGTCTTCTTTGTAGTTCTCTGGCTAATCTGTGCGATGGAGTGCTTGGTGGGGAGACTATGGGCCTGAGGGGGACTTCCAGCCTGTACGCTTTAGGGAGGCCGTAGAACCGGGGTGTGTTGGTTCCTTCGGGTTTCATTCTTAAGAAGTCTGTTTTGTTGATCTGGCCTGTTTGTTTAAATTTGTAGCGTGTATAGGATTTTGTTGTCTAGTTGTGGTGTCGGTTCAGTTTGTACTGTTCGATATGTGTTCTCATCGGCAAGCAGTGCTTGTGCTTTGGAGATGTAGTTCTTTTTATTCATTATCACTGTCATGCACCCTTTGTCTGCAGGTAGTCTAGTGATGTTCTTGTCCTTCTTTAATCTGTCCAGGGCTTGTCTTTCCCGTGTGTTGAGTTCCCTCTTTCTGGTTAGTGTCGGGACTACTGTCTGTCTTATGGTTTGTTGTGTTTCTTCGTTGATATTGTTGGTCTTGAGTGTGGCTTCCAGTTTAGCTAGCCATTCCGTTTTGTTGGCGTCCCTGTAGTTGTAGTTCAGTCCCCGGGTGATATATACATTCCACTACAGAGGAAACCCAGAAGTGAGGCAATCCATCACAACGGACCCCAGAGTTTAAAAACCAGGCGGGAAAACACACCGACGCTTCATCAGAGGCTGCACTGAGGATGTTACCAAGCATGATAACGAAACGTCTGCGGAACAACAAACCAGCTTGGCGAGCCAACCAA